TGTGTGAGTGTGTGTGTGTGTGTGTTACGTTTTTATTGCATGGCTTCTGTGACCGTATCACAGCATGTTGCGTCACGAATTGCGCTGCAAAACAACACCATGGAAGGAGTCACACCGTATCCTTGGGGTTCATGCAACGCAAGATGATAGACGAAGGATAAAAAGACAATACCAAGGTTCCACCACCATTCCACATCCAACATGCACAGGTGTTCAGGTTACGAAAACAGCACACAAACCATGATATTACCGACCTTTACACAAAACAACACTTACGTGGGCAGGCAAGCAACACTCAGCAAGAAAAGAATAACAGCCCGGGCCCTTCAGCAGTACGAAGGCCCGGCTGGGGTATGTCTGCAGAAGCTTTAATGTTTATCTTCTTTAACTTTTTTGAGGAGAATTTTTTTTCACCTCTCTTGAGTGAAGAGTGGTTGGGACGATGGACCCGGTTTCCAGCATGGTTCCCTTGTGACTTCCGGGTGGAATTGTGAGGTCCCCGGCCTCAACCACAATTATTCTTTGAAAAAAAAAAAGAAAAAAAAAGGACACAAAGGCAGACAAAAAAACAAACAACAAAAAAAAACAAAGCGAAAAAAACAAAACATAATAGATTGTTTCGTCGGAGTTGCACTGACTCATCAGAAGGCTGAACCGTCGCCGTATTTGATGGTTTGGGTCATGAGCCCTTTGACCCATGTTGAAGGCAGACTGTCCCCAAGAGGAACATAGCAGCGGACGGCAACCCTGTGAAGCACCAGGCAACACAGTAGAGGCAACACGGCTGCACAACGCCAAAAACGATTGCGAGGAATGACATGGCACGCAACGCGGCAGCCGTGTAGTGAAGCAGAAGACAACACAAGCAAGGCAACAGCACTGCAAGGGACGACAAGGCGAGTGGACCAGCAGCTGGGCAACCGAGGAGCGGAGCACAAGGCACCAGCAACAAGGCAACCAACCTACACGGAACACAAGCGGCAAGCACGGAAGGCACGACCAACGGATGAGCAGCACGACAGCGGAGCAGCCAAGCGCAAGGCAACACCAACAACACAGCCACACCGCACAGCGAACACATCAACCCGCAAAGAACCACACGCTAAGCAAGCGGGACAGGCAGTAGGGCAGCGGCGGAGAGCAGATGAGGACGTCCACACATCCAACACGGAGCAAAGCAGCACATGACCTACTCACATCACGATAGAACCCCGC